GTGTGTGTGTGTGTGTGTGTTAGTTACACCGAGTTGCTCACAGTTCGGAAAGGTATTCAACCAGGGGCCAGTGTTGACCTTTGACCTTTGAGATTTAATCCCAGTGTCGGGAGGAGCCTGGTGGAGGTGCTGTTGGTTTTATGGAGGAGTCTTCTCATCTCCTTCACCTCCTTCTCGTTTCGTCGCCTTCCTCCCCTCCTTCTTCTCTTTTCATCTCCTTGCTCGTCTTGTCTCCTGTCCTCTCTTCTCCTCTCCTCTCCTCCTTCCTCATCTCCTCTCCTCTTCTCTCCTCTCCGAGACAGGGAGAACAAACTTGGTTCATAACAATGAAAAATAATGAGATTATCTTTTCTCATCGTCTCAGCTCATGTAACAACATGAGAAACACTAGATAAACATGTGTGTGATAATGTGACATGAAGAGAACAGACATCTAACCCTAACCCCCATACACTCCAACACTTGAAGTAAGTACAAAACTTTTCCTGAAGCTGAAACGTAGCCGCAGGACAGAAGTTCCTGTCTTCACCACTTTCATAATTACAGATAAAAACACTGGAAGCTCCAATGACAGAAATCCCACATCTGGATCTCAACCAAAACCAAATCAGTAGCTCTTTGGCACAAAGTGGACGTGTCAAATTTCATGAAAATTCTTTCACAGGTTTTAAAACGTCCAGCTGACAAAGAAAGACAACACTTTAATAATACGGCAGCATCAGACCTTAACAAGCTCATAGTACCATATCACCACTAGAGCCCTGAGCTCCCAGAATTCAGTCTGTTGTCCCTCAAGTCTAAAAGTAGAGGAGGAGTCAGAGCCAAAGCTCCTGTGGAATCATCTCAGGTTCAGTTCTGGAGGCAGACTTCCTCTCTACGTTTAAGATTCAAACTTCCTTCATGATGAAGTTAGAGCTGGTCCAGGTTTGTCTTGGACCTGCTCTTAGTTCTGCTGCTGTAGCTCTAATATGTGAAGGACACAGGACACATGGAGCTTCTCTTTCCTCTTCCCCCTCTTCATCACATTAATGTCTAATCGACACATGTTACTGACGTGACTTCTTCACATGAGTTCTGGTGCTCCATCGTTTGTAGATCCACGATCGCTGCTGCAGCCACATCGTGGATCATGATGGAGGATCACAGATCAGAGATCCTGATAGTAATGGCAGATCCTGTATCGAGCTGACAACTGATCGTAGTGGATCATGATCGAGGTGGCAGCTGACGGTGGATCCTGATGGTGGATCCTGATGGTGGATCCTGATGGTGGATCCTGATTGTAGATCCTGATGGTGGCTGCTGACGGTGGATCCTGATGGTGGATCCTGACGGTGGATCCTGATCATGGATCCTGATGGTGGATCCACGATGGTGGATCCTGATCGTGGATCCTGATCGTGGTGGCTGCTGACGGTGGATCCTGATGGTGGCTGCTGATGGTGGATCCTGATGGTGGATCCTGACGGTGGATACTGATCATGGATCCTGATGGTGGATCCTGATGGTGGATCCTGA